TCAGACTCTGAGGACTCATCAAGGACTCTGAGGACTCATCAAGGACTCTGAGGACTCATCAAGGACTCTGAGGACTCATCAAAGACTCTGAGGACTCATCAAAGACTCTGAGGACTCATCAAAGACTCTGAGGACTCATCAAAGACTCTGAGGACTCATCAAAGACTCAGAGGACTCATCAAAGACTCTGAGGACTCATCAAAGACTCATCAAAGACTCTGAGGACTCATCAAAGACTCTGAGGGCTCATCAAAGACTATGAGGACTCATCAAAGACTCTGAGGACTCATCAAAGACTCTGAGGACTCATCAAAGACTATGAGGACTCATCAAAGACTCTGAGGACTCATCAAGGACTCATCAAAGACTCTGAGGACTCATCAAAGACTCGTCAGACTCTGAGGACTCATCAAGGACTCATTAAGGATTCTGAGGACTCATCAAGGACTCGTCAGACTCTGAGGACTCATCAAGGACTCTGAGGACTCATCAAGGACTCGTCAGACTCTGAGGACTCATCAAGGACTCTTCTGCATTCTTTTACTTTAATTTAATCTTTATTTGACTCGTTCATCGTCTGCTGGGAATCTGAGTTTAAACTTCTTTAAGTGTAAACCTGTTCTCAGCACCTGTCCTGTGTCTCTGCAGGGAACGATCTGTTCCTGGTTGTGGTCTGGTTCTGATATGTTTAATCTGGGTTTAATCTGGTTCTCAGCACCTCTCCTGTGTCTCTGCAGGGAACAACCTGTTCCTGGTGGTGGTTTGGTTCTGATATGTTTAATCTGGGTTTAATCTGAGTTTAATCTGGTTCTGATGGGTTTAATGTGGGTTTAATCTGGTTCTCAGCACCTGTCCTGTGTCTCTGCAGGGAACGATCTGTTCCTGGTTGTGGTCTGGTTCTGATATGTTTAATCTGGTTCTGATATGTTTAATCTGGGTTTAATCTGAGTTTAATCTGGTTCTCAGCACCTCTCCTGTGTCTCTGCAGGGAACAACCTGTTCCTGGTGGTGGTCTGGTTCTGATATGTTTAATCTGGGTTTAATCTGAGTTTAATCTGGTTCTGATATGTTTAATCTGGGTTTAATCTGAGTTTAATCTGGTTCTGATATGTTTAATCTGGTTCTGATGGGTTTAATGTGGGTTTAATCTGGTTCTCAGCACCTCTCCTGTGTCTCTGCAGGGAACGACCTGTTCCTGGTGGCGGTCCATGAACTGGGTCACGCTCTGGGTTTGGAGCACTCCAACGATCCCAGCGCCATCATGGCTCCCTTCTACCAGTACATGGACACTCAGCACTTCAAGCTGCCTCTGGACGACCTGCAGGGCATCCAGAAGATCTACGGTAACACGCCACTTTCACCTCCAAACAGGAAGTGCACCTGCAGTGTCATAACACAAAGGTTTTATTAGAAAAATAAACTAGAATTAATCTGAACTCTGAAACCTGAAAACTTCACATTTTGAATTTTTTTCTGCTGCAGAAACACGAGCTGAGTAAAAAACAACAGGCTGGATGGAAATGATTCATCCTGAAGCTCAGAACTTTCCGCTGTTGGATTATTATCAGAATATTTCTCAGAATATTTCTCAAGATATTTATCAAAATAATTCTCTAAGTATTTATCAGGATGTTTATAAGAATATTTATAAGAATATTTATAATTCTCAGGATATTTCTCAGAATATTTATCCAAATATTTGTTTCTCAGAATATTTCTCAGAATATTTATAAAAATATTAATTTTAATTTGACTCAGATGTGTTTAATCTGGGTTTAGATTAATTTAATCTGGGTTCAGAAGCAGAATAATCGTTTGATGTGATGGAGAAAAATTGTGTTTAGTTTGTTTTTGTTTCACCTCCTGCTGATGTTCTGACCCCCCCTCAGGTATCCCCACAGTCATGATGGAGCCCACCCGCCCGTTACCCACCCTGCCATCTCGACGGACCCACTCCACCTCGGAGCGTAAACACGATCGGCACCGCCTGGCCCGGCCCCCCGGCGACAGGCCGGCGGCGCCCGGAAACGGCAAACCCAACATCTGTGACGGAAACTTCGACACGGTGGCGTTCTTCAGGGGCGAGATGTTTGTCTTCAAGGTGAGACAGGAAGTCCCTCTGTGTCCACAGGTGGTCCCTGCTCCTCCTGCAGCCCTCAGGGGGTTCTGATCAGCTTCAGGTTCTGATGGATCTCAGGTCCAGGCTGCAGAGTCTGACGGTCCGACCCGTTGTGTTCCAGGACCACTGGTTTTGGCGTCTGAGGAACCACAAAGTCCAGGAGGGTTACCCGATGCAGATCGATCAGTTCTGGAGGGGTCTGCCTCCTCGCATCGACGCCGCCTACCAGAGGTCTGACGGGAAACTGGTCTTCTTCAAAGGTAGGGTTTGGGTTTGGTCCAGTTCCTGCAGAACTCAGAAGGTTCTGGAGCAGACCGGTCCAGTTCCTGCAGAGCTCAGAGGGTTCTGGAGCAGACCGGTCCAGTTCCTGCAGAGCTCAGAGGGTTCTGGAGCAG